CAGAGGATGTACTTCCTGAGGCAGCTGAAGAAATTCACCCTGCCAACACGGATGATGATACAATTCTACACTGCAATCATCGAGTCCATCCTCACCTCCTCCATCACCGTGTGGTACGCTGGAGCCACTATCAGGGACAAACAGAGACTGCAGCGTGTTGTGCGCTCTGCTGAGAAGGTGATTGGCTGCAGACTCCCATCTCTGCAGGACCTGTACACCTCCAGGACACTGGGGCGTGCAGCTCGGATCACAGCTGACCCTTCTCACCCTGGACACAGTCTGTTTGAGCTGCTCCCCTCAGGCAGGAGGCTCCGGTCCATTCGCCATAAGAACCTCTCGCCATAAGAACAGTTTCTTCCCCTCTGCTGTTGGTGTTACGGGTCCCAGATGTGAAGACCACAATAACAAAAAGAATACAAATCTGTAAAAATAAAGGTAGAGTCTCAGAGAAAGAATCACAGGAGCACTCGTATCTTTTCCCGAATGCGTCCCTTATTTCCGATCAACAAATATAATTTACATCCAGTGCTTTCACTTGTCAGATATGCTCAATAACTGTAAAAGGTAATTAAAAGGCATTTGGCAAATATATGCATCTATGGTCATTACATTTCTCCAGTTTACACTGTTAACTACACTACCACCGCTGCTGTGCCGCGCTTCAGTAACTTTCAACTAAACCCCACTTAAGGTTACATCGGCGGTGTCAACATAACTCTCAGTAAACACCGAAGTAGAACGAGGCACAAAACCCTCATACACTGTATTTTTAAGACGATACTGACCTGTAAAAATAAAGGTAGAGTCTCAGAGAAAGAATCACAGGAGCACTCGTATCTTTTCCCGAATTGCGTCTGAGAGGACAGGAAGTTGGTCCGCTCTAGGCAACCGCGGGCGAACGACTACAGTGTCAACAGTTCCGCTTATTATTTCTCACTTTTACTCTCCTCAATTGTTATCGAATACACGTAATGAATGTAAAATAATAATTGTCTTAATTGCTGGCATATGTTTTTCTTAAAAATAATAAAATTTACCAAAATATGGTAGCACATTTGTGTGTGGCCATCTTGTTTTCCCAGTAAAGAGGAAGCCTGCCTCAATTGCAGCTCTTTTATAGGCCAGTCTGTATTAAGAAGGTGTGTCTTTAGAGTATTTAAAGGGAGCAGGAATTGGATTGGGAGCCATTTTGAGAAGTTGCTGTCTGCATGTGCATGATGTTGGCAAGAGATAATAAAACAATTACTTTAATTAAGATAGAGTGAAGTCTGCTGTTTCCCTCACCACCCCTCACTGTGTAACAGGCACTGATCACAACCTGCACTCATGTATATATCTATCTACTTAGCACTTTTAATTCTTATTTTTATGTCTATTTAAGTGTTATATGACAGTATGTTTGCACTAAGTACCGCAGCAATTTCCTAATGTTGTAAACCTGCTCAACATTTGGCAATAAAACCCTTTCTGATTCTGATTACAATGACATTAGCATGACCTATTATGCAAATTAGGCGATGACGTCTTTAGCGACTTCTAGCGACTTTACGGTCAGCCAATACTGATTTTCCTTACTGAGGAGTTGGCAACATTGCATGAGGCTCCTGACTACGGCAGCCGTAATGGTCCAGCAATCCATCAAGCCATGCGCCATCATAGCTTACCAAAGTCGTACTAAAACATTTTGACAGATTTCTATGTGCCGTGTACTACATAAAATCGGTTCGAGGTCAGAATTCATACATAAGGCACACTGTCGATTTTTGAGAAAATTAAAGGATTGTAAGTTGCCTTATAGTGTGTAAAATACGTTATACAGAAGAAAAGAATATATCACGATATATATCGTTACCGCAGATGCTTCAAATTATACCGTGATATGGATTTTAGGCCATATCGCCCAGCTCTACTCCCCAGTGCCATCAGCAGTCATGCAGTCCCAAACAATGACATCTCACCACCATGCTTGACTGTAGGCAAGACATAATTGTGTTTGTACTCCTCACCTGGTTGCCACCACACAACCTTGAGAACCATCTGAACCAAATACGTTTCTTGGTCTCATCAGACCACAGGTAATCCATGTCCTTAGTCTGCTTGTCTTCAGCAAACTGTTTGTAGGCTTTCTTGTGCATTATCTTTAGAAGAGGATTCCTTCTGGGATGAAAGCCATTTGATGCAGTGTATGAGCACTAACAGACTGACCCTCTACGCCTTCAACCTCTGCAGCAATGCTGGCAGCACTCATACATCCATTTTTAAAAGACACCCCCTGGATATGATGCTGAGCGTGGCGAGGTTTGTTCTGAGTGGTACCTGTCCTGTTAAACTGGTGTATGGTCTTGGCCCCTATGCTACAGCTCAGTTTCAGGGTGTTGCCAGTCTTCTTATAGCCTAGCCCATCTTTATAGAGAGTAAAATTCTTCTTTTTTTTCAGATCCTCAGAGAAATCTTTTCCATGATGTGCCATGTTAGACTTCCAGTGACCAGTATGAGAGAAATAACACCAAATTCAACACACCTTCTACCAATTTGCACCTGAGATCTTGTAACACTAATGAGTCACATGACACCAGGAAGAGAAATGGCTAATTGGGCACAATTTGGACATTTTCACTTAGGGTGTACTCACTTTTGTTGCCAGCAGCTGTGTGGTGAGTTATTTAAAGGGGATGGCAAATTTAGACTTATACAAGCTGTACACTGACTACTTTACATTGTATCAAAGTGTCATATCTTCAATGTTCTCCCATGAAAGATACAATAAAATATTTACAAAAATGTGAGCGGTGTACTTACTTTTGTGAGATACTGTATATATGTACATATAATAGATACAAAGTAAGAAAAAATCACTTGCATAAAGTTTTAAGAAACTATTGGCAGAAAGATGTTGTCTCAGTTGCGCAGCCTGACAAATTACTTTTCAAAACTACAAATCCTCAATTTAATGCTTTAAAAAAATTTTAGCAGTAAAATGATGTGTAATTTCAATTCAGCTTTACTGTCATTTCAATCATGGCAGAGTCTGTGCAATAGTGCATAATAAAACTGTGGGTCAGTATTATCACCATTTTTGCTTGTACATACTCATATGGTAGCAAACTGTCAATCACAAGACAGGCCTGGCCTGAATCAGACTGAGCTTTATCATGCTGTTTGATTCTAATAAGAACAAAAAAACAAAATTCAAATAAACATCATTTTGTATTCACTATGATGCGAACCTCACAACTGAGGGCGTAAATCCGGGACAAATCAAGGGCTTGAAATAAAATGTTTCCCTCTGCTGTTACTGCAGCTTACTGTAACTTTGTCTCTGAAAAGGACATGGTGGACTATTGAGTTTATTACATGCTTTCTTACTCATCATTTGTCTCAGAAATATTAATTTCATACACCAAAGCATATTTTGTGCTTATTTTCTATGACTTTTATAGTACTATAGGGCTAGTATAGTACTTAAGCTGTTAGTACTGGCTAGACTAACTGAATGTGAACTGACAGGCCTATACATAGTCAGTCACAAGCTGGTTTACATAAGGTAAAGAGGTAAACTGTGTTGCCTAACTCACGTGATTTTAATTTTTGGTTATTATGAGTTCACTTGGTGAGTTTTGGGTTTGTTGCTCATGTCATGAAAAACGCTTTGCAACAACTACACATCTCTGGGCACTGAAAATGTCTGCCGCGTCTGACATATGAGCTACGATGATGTTTGATCCAGGCTAATTTACAATATAACAAGAAATATGACTGAGTGACCAATAAAATTACAAAAGCATTATATAAATGCAAGTATATGACATTATACTTATTCTCTTTGTTTCTAGCAGCAATACCAACAGGTACCCTCATTTTGTATTGCTCATTGTTAATACTTTAAGCTGTGGCAAGATTACTACGACCCTGGAGCTGAGCAGCACATTACCTAACACCCTCATTTAAAAAAAAAAAAAAAAAAAAAAAAAAAAAAAAAAAAAAAGCACTGTTATGGCTTCTGTGGTTGTGCAAGTATTGTTACAAATTCACACAATGAATAGAGAAAGGGTTTAATACATGAAAGACATTTCACATTGTTACATACATAACAAAACAAGATTATTTCTGCCTCCAGAGATGCTTATTTGACTAATCCACTAGTTTACCTCTTGGTCAGTAGCATTATCATCTCCCACAAACACCAGCAAAAACCTCCCTTGCTTTGCACTTATGTGACATTCATAATCATTTCTTTTACATTCTAAAGGCCCGCTTAATCACTGCCAGTAGTGGTTACAGTAAAGGTATATACCTGAAGAATACAAGGGTACAAAAACAAAAGGAAAAAACAAAACTGAACTGAAAACGATTTTCATTATATATTAAATCCCTCATACAAAAAAAGATCTAGCTCTCTTAAATACATTAAGTACATATTCCAAAGTGCTATGATGCTGAAACTTGTGGTGGCACAGCAACAAAAAATGAGGTTTAAATCTTAGACTGGCAGTCGACATCAACATTCCAGTGTGTCCTCAGAGCTTTAAAGCCTACATGCAGAAACCCAACGCTCTCCTTCGAAGACTCCGCACACTGTGCTATTATTTGATGGAGTAACCTTCAAGGAAAACTCAGCCTTCAAGGCAACTGAAGAAAATGCATACCAAGGCACAAAGTGAAGGTCTGAAATACTGCAGCTCTCTGGCAACACTATATTATAATAGGACTTAGTTTTACTGTAGTGTTTGAACAGGAATTATGTAGCAGACTTTATCTTAAAGAAATGCAGATTTTAGCTGTGATCAGTAATCACCTTTAAATAATACCTATAGTTACATTGTTAAAAACCAACGTAAATCCATCCCTCTATCCATATATCCAGTTTCTTTTGTTTATCCAATTCAGGATGCTTGGAGGGGGGGCATTATTTTGCATATTATTTGCACCTGAATTTGCAATTTGCAAAATAATTACTTGCAAATTGCACAAGATCCTCTCCAGACATTGCTACAAAATATCCTTACAACATGACAATTTAACAAAGTACATATCATCTGTTTAAATAACACTACTGTAAATTGACAGAATAACATGTAGGCAATCATTTTTTACTTTTAATGATCTTCCTAAACTTACAGAATTGTACTCTTTTAAATAAAGCACCAGGCTTTGTTAATACATGAAAATTCTGTGTTATTCAGAAATAATCCATAAGAATATAAAAATTCTAATATCACTGTTTATCCCTCTTGCAATTTGCTACCTATTTATTTATTATGCTGCAAAAATAATCAGTTCCCTTTCTATGAAAGGAGTGACACTAAAGGAAGGCTTGTATGATTATTTGGACTTTAATTTGAAGTCCAGCACTTGTTTCACTTTCCTCAACATTAAAGCAGCAATTCCAACACACATAATCAAAGTGACCACATACAGCCCCACAAATAGAACAACATCACCACTTCCGTGCAGACTTGAGTACAACTTCCTGCGGCCCACAAAGTCCAGGTAGGAGGCGTGGATCTGACACAGGGTGCAGCAAGATAAGAAAACGTGGAAGATTTGATGACTCTGTCCCACAAAATCACACCGCCCGGGGAAACAGCGCTCCAGCAGAGGGCAGGTGAAGAAGAAGGCACAGCTGAGGAAGAACGCCACCTGGCCAAAGTGGTAGATGATGGCTGGATCACTGCTGGACCAGAAGAACAGTCTCTTGGCCACTGGACTGATGTCCCAGGAATAGGCGAGTGCTGAAGGTACCACCTGGCACACCTTACGCACCCACGTTGGTAGGCTGTGGTTGCAGTATTTGCCGTAGCAGCATCCCAAACATGAAAGGCAGCTGAGGATTGCGGCGGTGGGCATGAAGATACCACTCACCAGTCCATGGACGCTTTCATCAACAGCATAGTAAAAGTGGACTACAGCGCTGCCATACTGATACTGCGCTACCCCTACGTAGTCCAGAAAGTAGAAGCAATAATGAGCAAGGTCAGACTTTCCTCCCAGTAAGTGAGCTACAACACTGAATGCAGAGTAGGTCAAAGAGGACAGGACGAGGATGAGCAGGGGCCACGAATGACGGTCACTGATAAAGTCCACAGTCTCAGTAAGCTGGCACAATTTAATCAGCAACACTAAAAATGCCACCAGGTGAGTCCAAATGTTTAAGGTTTCATTGTGGCGCTGAAACAAGGACAGGAAGTAGTAGCGCCAGTTTTGGTTGAGTGGACGATAGCCGGTGCAGACGTAGCGTTCCCGGAAGTAGGAGGGAACCTCGGTGTCTCTGACGGTGCCGGGCATGGAGGGTGCAGCGTCAGTCAGCAACTGGGGAAACTGCCGGATCTGCTGCAGGCTGATGAACACTCGGCCGATGCTCTCCATCACAGTGGTTGCCATGATTGTCAGTAGCTGGCTGATGCACACTGGGTAGTTCCTGCAGATAGGTTTTTAAGAGTTAAAACCCACAAATTTGTTTTATTTTCAACCATTTCATTATGCTCCAACAACAGTGATACACATTGGCAAAGCAGGCTGTTGGGATGATTCCAGGGATTGTTTGAATAGATCTTTTCTGGATTCAAAGCAGAAAGCACAGTTAGGCAGTTCTTCTGATGTAAAGTATTTTAAAATAACCCTGTATATATGTATGTATGTATATGTATATGTATATATGTGTATGTATGTATGTATGTATATATGTTAGGGGTGCAACGATACACAAAATTCACGGTTCGGTTCGGTTCGATACTTTGGTGTCATGGTTCGATATTTTTTTCGATACAAAAAAATGTTCATGCTTTTTTAATTTGTCATTTATTAAAATTATAAATATATATCTTAACTCAAACGTACAGTTTTTAAATTTAATGTTGCTGAAACAACAAAGGGATAAAATAATAAATCTATCTGATTGAGGAATCACTCATCTTTGGAAAGAGAGTTTATTGCAGAGAAATGGCTCTTTCCAAAATAAAAGCTATACTATCCGCTTCTTCTGGGCTATATTCTCAGCAGCATATTAAACATATCAGGTCCCCATAAGGAGAATCATGTGCTAACGGCTGTCTAAATGACTCGGGTAAAGTTTGTAGCATGCGTGCTTGTTGTTTTTCTCTGCTTCCACTTGTCTTTGCACTAGGATGCTGTCGGAGTAAATGTGCAGTCATATTCGTTGTGTTCCCACTAGTGCTTTCAGGTTAATCTGAAATGACGTTAACGCCACAACACGGCAAATCTCCGTTAACGAGCTACCATCCCCGTGCGTGGGGCTGGACAGCGTCAACATTTCTTTTTATCACAACTCTGGTTTTCGTGGCTTTTCAACACAATTTAAAAACTGTTATAAAGTCCACACTTTTCCCGTCTGTCCTGCTCACATCTCCAATGGTTGTACACGTTGTCATTAACGTGGCTTCACTCCACATCAGCCACGCCGCCTTGGCAGCTAAAACACCGGTGTCGGCACTTAAGGACGCTGTCATAGCCTGTCAACGACGTTGATTGGCTGCGTATATACGAATGTGAATCGCATTATTGGCTGGACTATGGGATAGGTGGCATCGTTCTAATCACATACGGGAGCAACCAGTCACTTACTGACTAACACTGCAAAACAGAATTGTTAAAGTATTAATTTTAATTTCAATACAGGTTAGATTTTTTTTGTGCGCAAAGCAGATTTTCTGTGCGCAGAGACTGTGCCAGCAGTGCGCAATTGTGCACGTGCGCAGCTTAGAGGGAACATTGCTCCCAGGGACATGTTAGGCAAATCTATAACCACTACGCTTTTAAGGTAATAGACAGTCCTGATGCTTGTAGAAACACTCAAACATAGAGCCTGCTTTACCTCATGCAGATGTCATATAGAGTCACTGACAGGTAGAGTAGTTCCACTCTACCTACAGGAGCAGTTTTGTGTTGTTAAGCTATGTCCTAATGCTCTTTCTCTTCCCACCTTAAGCTAATGCGCGTAACAAGACAATATATCTACGCTGAGGTGTTTTAGTCATTACCCCACTCCCCTCCAAAAACCAGAAACATTTTTCCTTATTTACATCTTTAATGATTGGCTGCAGAGCTCTGAGAGAAGCCGCCACTTCATGTGTGCTTGTGCATGTGTATTACTAAGTTTTCAATTAGAGCAGTTATTTTGCTCTCAAGTGATTATCTTGCTGTTACTGCGAGGGACCTGTTTTAAAGAGTACTCACAGTAAAGCATTTTGACACACCAAGAAGAATGAGGCAGCTTTTGTTGTATGGGTTTAGAGAGAGTTTGTGTCTCTATGTTTGGATGAACTGTGCGGCTCTTACAGCTCTTGATTCCTGCAGAGACTGCTGTACCTCGGAAGTATCAACAAAATTTGTCATATAAACCCGTCAGCTTTCCCCCCCTTGTGTTACAAACAAAGCGCGCCCCTTTCGCTTGCAGCTGTGTGCTTTATCCTCTCTTTCAGGTTATTTCAGCTTGAGCCAAGATGATACAACAAATAAAACATTTGGTCCACAAGTCCTATCTAGAAGAAGCAAAAGTTGTAATGGGCTTCAAGAGGGGAACCAATGGAAAGATGATGAAAGGTTAAAGATCCCCTTATCTCACTCAGTACACTGCTGGGGTGCAGTGTGTGACCAAGGTGCTACTCTGCTGTCCTGCTGGATTGGCAGGTGAATTTTGTTGTGGTGACTTTTGACAGAAATCATGTGACCAGACCTCAGAGAAAAGACTCAAACCCTGGAACCCGTGGGTAACTAATCAGCTGTTTATGTTAATGTCTGGCCCAAGTTGCGTCTATTCTTTGTAACTGGCCGCCCTCACTTAACTGTAGCAGGCTAGAACCGGTCCTGAGCTCGGTTCTCCAGCCTCCTCTTCCGGTCTGTATTTCAGCAAAGGAAGGATTTTTTTTAAGTTTTGTATAATAATTTGCAGTGGCAGGCTATTGTAAAATAAGAACGCGACATCGAGAAAAAACGCAGCACCTCACACCAGTTTACTGCCTACATAAGCCCCCCTTCCCATTTTTAAAAGCATGCTACAGCCTGTTGAATATCAAACTTCCTTCGCTAAAGTTGTGTCGATTTACCAGATAATCGTGTGTATGCTACCTGCAGAGTCTTGGGGAGAAAACATCCCAAAACAGTTCTTTAAAGGTAAAAAGGAGACTTATTCGACTTAATGTGTCCGTAACATTAGCGGTCTGTTTAGTGTTCAGCTACCCATGAAGTCATAAATGGATGATGTCTCACCTGCCAGCCTGAGTTTTGTCGATGTCCGTCGGTAAAACGACCGCTCCTTCCTCCTCCGCCTGCCGACAGTACATTCAACAGATTGAATCGCTCTTCTGAAGACAGTCGAGGCGCTGGAAATGCGGCCGGAAGTTTAGTCTTTTACCCCACCCAATTAAAAGCGTTATTTTTCAGTCGTACGTCGTTGTTGTTCCTGTTAGCAGTATAGTTTTGTTTCCGTTGCAAATAAATAAATAAATACATACATAATAAAATTTCATCCCTCCCCAAACACCCCCAACACTGAACTAACAACTGAACCTTATAGAGTCCAAGTGCCAAATATCCCTAATGAATGTAAAACCAACACACTGTCTCCAACACCTTTCCAGTTTTCACGCATTAAAGCTAGTCTCTTGAGCAGGAGAATGACTTTGTTTTAGTTACAAAGAGGCATATCAGGGGTACTTCCCAAAGTATAAAACATATGCTCTAAAAACTAAGTACTGTAAAAAAAAAAAAAACTACTGATATATACAAGTCAAATCTAATAATAATTGCTAGAAATACGACGATTTGCTTTTTCTGTATTATAAAATTTTAAAAACTCATTGGAAGCTATTCTACCCCTATCTTTTCGTTGCATTCGAGATTCTTAATTGTCTGGGATGGTTGTTAAACTTAATGTCGTTACAGTTTTATTTTGGAAAATGTATACCGGAAGGTGAGTCGTGCTCTTATTTTTCTGACACCGGATGGATTTTGAGGAAGAAGGTGGTTTTCTAAAAACATTAAAACGAAGTACCGAAAGAAAGTCTCCGAAGTGCGTTGCCTTAAGCCTGACCCACGTGCACAAAAATATGTTATAGATAAATATTTTTAGAAGCTGTTTTCTCATGAGCTTATTAGGAAATATGTCTTACTCTACATTTGGGAGGACATTAGAAAATAAATTTGAATCACAAGAGACCTTTCCAGACATTTAATTCAGTCTCAAAAGTCCCGGACAGATGCTAAATCAGTTCATTTGTTTGAGGGAAGGGCAGAGGAAGGTGGTTAGACAGCCTCGGGGTGATTTTTCTGGAACATTCGTTATCATTGACTTTGCTCCGGAGATTTAGAGTTTACACAGACACGATTACATAACCTGGCATTCAAGCTATGACCACACCACTTAAGTATGATTTGAACAGTGAGGCTTGTACAAACGTGTTTTATTATTGTAGTCATTTTGACCAAAAAAAGTTCTCACATTAAAAAAATTCGATTAACACACTTTGTCAGAAAAAACAAAGTTCATCCTAAAACATATTGCCTTTATAATATTGTATTATCACCACAGGACCTGTACATTGGATTGCAATAAAAAAAAAGTTTTCTCTGAATTTCTTAGAATGGAAGGTTTTGAAACAAGACAGAGGAGATAAACTCAAATCCTGAAGTGCCTTTTAAAGAAGACATTTTATACCAATTATACTTTACTCTCAGATCTATTATAAAGGTGCTGCTTTTGGGAGTGAGTCAAACATGAAGGTCATATCTGCATGTTTAGATTTAGGATTAATATTGGAATAATACTGGATTTTTAGCATAACCCCTGTTCCTTTGTATTCATATTCTTATTCCAATTTATTCTATTTATCCCTTTTGTATACTCTGTATTAGGGGTGGGCGGTATAAACGGAATAGGGTAGAAACGATAGAAATTTAGCCAACGGTAGAGATTTTAGAGTAAGTAAGGTTAGGGTTTTATTGTTTTTAGCGTTTTAGGCTGGGAGTTGCTCACAGTAAACCAGTGGCACCAAACTTGGCAAGAGGTTTGAATTAGGGGTGGGCGGCATAGACCGCGATAGCGCATGTTGATGATGTCATCAAGCTGCGCCTGTTTTGGTCGAAAGCATTGCAGCAGCTGCAAACAACATCATCAGCAAATTATGCCGGGCGACAGTAATAGCAAAGAGACAAGCACTTTTGGAATATGGGGAAAGCCAAAAAATGCGCTTTCTCCACTTCCCTACAATTGATTCATTAGTGCTGAATTCTCTCGCAGCTGCTCTATTCCCATGTTGTTGCAGTATATTAATCACTAACCTCATATTGCGGATGGATCATCTCAGTTGCTCTCCTGTCTGAAGTTTGGTCTGTTTATAGCATTCTGCCATGCAACTGCATTTGTCCCTAACCACCAGAACTCCTCACGTTAACTTTTATCGAGTGGTAAGAAGTTAGCGTTCATCCTTCAGCTTCACTGTGCTAATGTTATGCTAATGTAGCTGTTTTGCTAATGGTCACGTAGCACATCATTAGCAGAGCTGTACGTTTTCAATTTTTCAAAAATGGTAAATGGCCTGTATTTGTATAGCGCTTTACGCATCCAGTCATCTACCCATTCACGCACACATTCACACAGAAATCTGTCAGAACATGGTATATCTGTTTAGGTGGAAACTAGCGAGCTAACTTCCTGCTAACTTCTAACTCCGTTGAATTTAATAAGTTCTGATTTCATGGATGTCTGGATGTTAATTTTAATTTTTACACCTGGTAAAGCAGCAATGCCGATCATTTTATTAAAGATGAAAGAATTTAGACAGTTTTAATTCTCAGTGATGCCGCAGTGTTCGTTTGACTTTGTGACCTGATGTAATGGAGTTTAGGACCCAGATTACTCCGCGAGGCTCCTGACTACGGCAGCCGTAATGCTCCAATAATCCATCAAGTGGTACGCCTTCATAGTTTACCAAAGTCGTACTAAAACATTTTTGACAGATTTCTGCGCGCCGTGTACCACATAAAATCGGTTCGACGTCAGTAAGCACACCCAGAATTTATACATAAAGCACACTGTCGATGTTTGAGAAAATTAAAGGATTGTAAGTGTGCCTTATAGTGTGCAAAATACATTATACAGAAAAAAGAATGTATTGCGATATATATCGTTACCGCACATGCTTCAAATTATACAGTGATATGGATTTTAGGCCACATCGCCCAGCCTTAACTCAAAGGTCTATCTTATAAAGACCTTTTTTGTTTTTGTTTTATTTAGACCTGGTTTAATTCTGGCCGTTGCAAAGCCTGGGTCGTGTAGCAGCCAACATCTTCTCCAGAGAGGTTGTCCCGGTGAGGGAGAAGTTCATGGCCCACTTCTCGGCGGAGGGAGCAGTGTCTTGGCAGCCAAAAGAATAGCCTATTTGAAGTCCCAGTGACTTGCCCACAACGGCTCTTTTAAGAGCCACCCACAAACCTCTAAAGAGCGTTCCTGCCTTTTTAAAATTTTCTTAATAAGTGGAGCTTGTCTCCAAAATAAACTAACCTCTCTTTATTCTCTTAAATAATTGGTCTTCACTATGTTCCAATATAGTAGTAAATTTTTTTATTGGCTAATATTAAAGTTATTATTATATTTAATCAATTATATCATTATTAGTTATTACAGCAGTGAACATGAACTCTGTGACAAATACTGAGCTTCAGTAAAGATTCAAGTTGAAGTTATTTATATTTCCTATCAACTTAAATCTTCACTCAAAGACCAGTATCTTTGACAGTGTATATATAGATGTATTATACATAAGATAAGATGACCTTTATTAGTCCCACAGGTGGGAAATTTGTTTCGTTACAGCAAAAGTGCAAAGTTATGTAGCAGAAATTAGAAAACACTGGAATGGAATAAAATAAAATACTATATACAATAAGATTAGATAAAACTATAACAAAATAATGAAATAGAATAATATATACAATAGAACAAAATAGAATACAAATGCTATATACAGCTGAGTAAGAAAATACAAAAGTACAACTTTGTCAGAAAAAGAATTGCACTTATAGCAGTCTTATTGCACATGTGTGGGTTTGATCAGCTGCAAAAGTCTTTGTTGTAGAGTCTGACAGCAGTGGGGAGGAAAGACCTGCGAAACCTCTCCGTGGGTGCCGCAGCCTGCCACTGAAGGAGCTGCTCAGTGCTGTCAGATTCTCCTGCATGGAGTGGGAGATGTTGTCCAACAGGGATGAAAGCTTAACCATTCAAACATTCTCCTGTCACCAATGGCGTGTCCAGCGGGGTGGCCTGGGGGGGCACAGGCCACCCCCCCAAACCAGACTGGCCACCCCAGGTGCCACCCCAAAGGCAAAACAATAAAATTCAATCAAATATCAAATGTCCGATTATGTTTTCACGGTGACGCTCAGATATCCGAGTGTAAGTGAATGCAGCATCGCTTCTGCGCTATGCGCATCACGTTAGCAAAGGTAGGAGAGCCAAGCGCGAAAGATGGCACTGCAGGAAACAATTTTTCGGTGAAAGAAAATGAGGACAGAATAAATGTCCCGGTAAGTAATATCAAGTTTGTTGAGTTTAGTAAACTTCGGTGAAATTAGAATACCAAGGAAAAAAATAACACTTAAAGAATTATTGCAGCCGTGGAATATTTCAGACAGTATGCTACTGAGGGCAGCTAACATAAGAGTTATGCGTTATAAGATATAATCTAAGTCGTAACATTGCTGTATGGAGCTGCAAATTTGGTTGCAGGTTAACATAGCTGGACTGGCCATCGGGCATATCCCCAGTGACTTATTTTTTATTTTATTTTTTGTAATGGCATGAACAATGAGAGGTGGTGGATTGGCCAGATGCAGGTCGATGTGTAGAAATAACTCCGTTGTTTGGTGGTAGCTATGACGGGGCTTCCACAGAGGCAACAGGTGGATGAGGGAAGGGGAGGCAGGAGGAGAGACCCGAAGCAGCCGCCAGTCCGAGTGTCAGGTGAACTGAACTTCAGGTAAGAAGTTATGACCTGCAGTCTATCTGGGTCAGATATAAACCAAGTTTAGGTGGAGTTTATTTTCATGTTGCTGACTTTTTACTGTCAGTTGCAATAACTCATACTGCGTTCTAGCCAGTTTGACGGAGTTTATATACAGCTGGGTGGGTGCTATGATGTTACTGATAGTGAACTTTATTTTATTCATACGTTTAGTTAGTAGAGTTGCCAACGGCTCCTTAAAAAATGGAATGGTCCCTCAATCAGAGAAAATATTACACGTTTCGTATTGAGCTGAGAAGCAGTTTGTCCCGGACTTTCGCTATAATGAAAAAAAGACACAAAGCTGGATTTATTCTGTCGTTATGCTGCACAGCTGC